GTGGCAGCGGGGTCATATTGGAAACTAAGGGATATTAAGGCCTCCTTTTGATAGAGTACCGGATCAAAGCATTAACACTTAGTGAATACATGAAATCCTCAAACTACGTTCATCACCGGGAGTGGTCTCGACTATTGTCACTCCGGGGTTACCGGATCATAACACATAGTAGGTGACTATAACTTGCAAGATAGGATCAAGAACACAAATATATTCATGAAAACATAATAGGTCCAGATCTGAAATCATGGCACTCGGGCCCTAGTGACAAGCATTAAGCATAGCAAAGTCATATCAACATCAATCTTAGAACATAGTGGATACTAGGCATCAAACCCTAACAAAACTAACTCGATTACATGGTAAATCTCATCCAACCCATCACCGTCCAGCAAGCCTACTATGGGATTACTCACGCACGGTGGTGAGCATCATGAAATTGGTGATGGAGGATGGTTGATAATGATGATGGCGACGGATTCCCCTCTCCGGAGCCCCGAACGGACTCCAGATCTGCCCTCCTAAGGAAGAACAGGGCTTGGCGGCGACTTAGTATCATAAAACGCGATGAATCCTTCTCTCTGATTTTCCCCGAGCATGAATATATGGAGTTGGAGTTGAGGTCGGTGGAGGTCCAGGGGGGCACAAGGACGGAGGGCGCGCCCCCACCCTTGTGGCCAGGGTGTGGGGCTCCTTCACTTGATTCTTTCGCCAATATTTTTTATTAATTCCAAAAATCATCTTCGTGAAGTTTCAGGTCATTCCGAGAACTTTTATTTCTACAGAAAAATAACACCATGGCAATTCTGCTGAAAACATCGTCAGTCCAGGTCAGTTCCTATTCAAATCGTGCAAGTTAGAGTCCAAAACAAGGGCAAAAGAGTTTGGAAAAGTAGATACGATGGAGATGTATCAATCCGCCACCGAGACTCCGCTGCACCATGTCGTCGAGACCCGCTGGGGTTGCCACTGTAGATATGATGTTGCTCCACCTCTGGACCCCTCTAGCCAGCACTTGCTCCAAGAATGATGCCCCCTAGAGGGGGTGTGATGCTAGATGCTACCATTATCCGATCTGGGAGACCCAGGTCCAGGGCTTCCCCCAGAGTAAAGCCCCTTCCATGTGAGTCTATGTGGTGATCCAATGCCGCTACACTTTCGCAATCTCTCCGACAGATATGAGGTCCAAAACAATGCCTCCAAGAAGGTAGATGATGCCACATGCCGCCACTGTTTGGTCTCGCAAGCCAAACCTGAGGTTTCCCTTGGAGCTCGAGGGACCGCCACGGTTACAATGCCCTCCAAGGAGGTTAGCGGCGTCCGTAGACGTCGCTGCACCATCTGCGCATGCAGATCTAGGCAAAGAATTTCTCCTTGGTGGTAGTCCCTCGAACAAGGAGAGCAGGATGCAGAAGCGCTCATCGGAGATGCCCACCAAGGTTGAAGGAACAGTCGCGCCAGGCGAAACGTATCCGAGCACATGGCCCGAACCTATCCAACCCAACTCGACTAGAGGAGGCGGCGGGAAGAGGATCCGGGCGCACCAGCCCTGGATCTGCCGCCATCGCCTGCGCCCATCACCGCGCCATCCGTTGTGTGTCGGAGAACCAACACGCCATGACGCCCGGCCTGCGCCACGCCCTAGTCGAACACACCGGCCCACGCGCGGTCTCCCCGCATGAGAGGACTAGGGAGCCCTCCCGCCGCCACTGCCGACCAAGCTTCACCCGGCCACACTCTCCAGCGATGGCGAGGGAGGAGGAAGGAGGGGAGGGAACCGACGGCGACCGGGGCTGGGCGCCCCGGTGCAGCTCGAGGAACCGCACGGGAGGGATCCCTTTTTTTAGGACCGGGAGCTTAGGTGCCTTTGGATCCCTACGTAATGTATAGATATTTCGAGGCATTATAACGAGTGAGGCGTTTTGGCTCTCGGCCTCCTTGAAGACCAAATTGTCTCAAAAATTCGAAATTTGAACTTTCTGAAGAAAAAAATGTACAAGTCAACAAGGATGTTTGTGTATGTGCGTAAAATTCTAGTATAAAATACCTTGAAATGTGGTCTATACAAAAAAGATAAATTCATGGCCTAGAAGGATGAATAGTATCGTGTGTTAAAAACCTCGGATTTGTTTTTGCATAACCTTTCACCGTATTTCGCCCTGAAAATTTACACGCTTGTGTATTATGCCTCCATGTATATCTATATTTTTCAGTATTTTTTTAAAATGTAAAAAATATGAACTTAGAATTTTTCAAAAAATGACCTCCATGGAGCTCAGCCTTCAAAAGGGATTTTGGCCGTTATAACCTCAAAAGAAAATAAAAAGAATGGGCTTGTGGATTATGAAAGTGGTTGGATGAATCATGGCACGACCTATCAAACTTTGGAATGCCACATGCCGTGTTAACTGATGCCATGCAGTGGCGGAGCGTAGTGGGGACAATTTCGGGCCCTGGCCCCCCCTTCCAAGAGGAAAATTTACTAAATACACTTACTTATCTGCTAATTGCTCTACTAATCATCCGGCGTCTCTGATCATCCTATCCTTTTCTATGTCATATACACTCATTTGGCCCCTCCTAATATTTGATTCACGCTCCGCCACTGATTCCATGTAAGTTATATGTTACAATAACGAAAACTTTAAGTTATCTATTCTAATATGATAGCCACCTTCGTGCATGCGGACGAGAGGCGATCGTGTTGTTGTCGTCTCACGTCATGTTTGCAAACTACTCTTTTATACATGTAAAGTTCCTACAAACTAAGAGACTCGTGAGTTCTAACTATACCATGCACCAGCACCATTATCAAGTATGCTTTATGTGATTTAGATGCATGCGTTGGTGTTACAACTTTTTTCTTTTTATGCGAAGCTTGACTTTGAGAAATTAACCTCAACTGAGTTATATATGCAAATGACTAAAAATACACTGTTGGACATATAGGTATTTGTGAAAATGTTAATGTTTGTGGCTGTTAATGTTTTAGTCCTAGCTGACTTTGTTGTGCTTGACATGCCCAAGGACGATAATTTATCTATTATTATTTGGAAAACTTTTATGAACACTGCATGGATTCTTATTGATTGCAACCAAGGCAGTGTCGCTTTAAATATCAAAGGAAATCAGCATATTGTTTATTTCCAAAAAAGTCATTGATGAAAATAAATATTGCCATCCACTTAAAAAGGGGGTGGCTATTGGGAAATGAGAATTCTTAGTGTCTTCTCGTAAAAATAAATATCAATCATTATGGTTGGGTCTATTCCTACCCAAGTTGAGGTAACTTGAATAATATTCGATGTGGAATGATTTGCATTTCATGAAAGATTCATTAATAGGCTTTATCACTCTTATTAGTAAATTATTTCCATGATTACAAAGTCATCTATATTAAATACTCCCTTTTGTATGACTTTTATTTTAAATTTTCTAAACTATTTTAAATTGCTCAAAATGAATGATTTTTTCTTCATAAAACCATTTTACTCAGTATTTTTAAATCATAATAATTCTCATTTCTTATAAAAATCCATATGTTCTTTTATCGAAAATGAGGAGCATCGAGCATGTGGGCCACCATTCTCATTTGAGAAAAGTGTCTTAACTATAGCACTAACGATCCTAGACAACAGTGAAAGCTTGATTGGAGCTAAGAACTATTTCCAAAAGGATCCCTTTCACTCTTTTGTCGAAACATCTTTCTTTGTCTAGTCCAGTCTGACTTAAAATGAGTGGCCCATGGCCAGCCACGCGCCCTAGCTCTAGGCCACTTTCCAAGAGCATGTGGGGCCCACCTGGTACCCCTCGTGTGGTGCTTGGGCTAGGAGGTCTTCTTCCTCTCCGAAAACACTCTCCATATTTTTCAAAAAAAATCCTGAGCTTCCAAGCTGCCATTTTCGATCCTTTTGCTCATTGCATCATTTTTTGTTTCTTTGTGAAATTGTTCCTTGGTATGTGACTCCTCTTCTCATCCAAATAGAATTTGTGTAATGCTCTATATCATGTTATCATTGCTACTGTTGTTGCTTCTAAAAATGAGCTTGCATGATGATTTAGATTATTTTGGAGTAGTTTTGATGCTTGATATAGTTACTACGTATAAGCTTAGAGGCGTTGTCTCCCGCGTTTTTGTGAAAACAATCTTACCTTTTATTTGCATGTTAAATAATTTGAGAATTTGAGTTCATAGATGTCCAATGTTGGAAAGGTTGTTGATGCCTCTTCCTCAAGGTTAAACTCCAATTATGTAGCCGGATTATTTCTTATCGGCTGAGTTGGGCATTCGAGACAACTTCTACGAGCTCATTACCAACTAAGGTTTTGCGCGAATTTGCATCAACGAGACTCCTACAGTCCTACTTATGTCAACTTGACTGAAGAACTCGTTTCTACTTTTAAATTATATATACATTTTAACATACGGGCAAGAACAATTCTCGCAAAAAAGAAAAAAAAAAACACAGCAAGAACAAGCTTGGATAAGGGGTGCAGGGCGGCGCCCGATCCGCTCCGCTTAGTAGACAAAACAGATTTTGGTTAGTTATAAATATCCCTCTCAGATTTATTTAAGATTTAGTTCAATTTGAACTAATTCTCTATTTATGCGGGACTTTGCAGGACGCCCGCTTGCATCCCTAAGCTTGGTACATGTTCTGCATTGCTGAACGACCAAGATCTGAATGCCGATTTTTCTAACCAAACTACGGTGGACAACGGGGAATTACATCATAAGTGCATAGCAATAGACTCCAACCAAAGTGCAATGCCCAGGGACACAAAAATTTGGTCCAACTGGTATGACGTTCTGTCTGGTCTCTCTTTTATATATACACATATACAGCTTAACGGTTAATGCTAAAAGTCAGACGTATATGCAACAGATCAACTAATTCTGAGTTTCCGAGGAACAACTTCAACTCCCACTTCTGAACGCCCGTAGCCACCTTTGTAGCCTCTTCAAGCTCCAGCACTCTGATCCTCTGCCGACCGACTGGTTACGTTGTCAGCGCGTTGGGCAGCGAGGAGTGAGAGCCAAGCACCTTGCCACCGACGTCCGGGAAGCTCTCATGCCCAGGCAGAGGCACCACCCTCCCGTCCTTCTCGACCTTGATGGGGTACCTCATGAGGTGCCCCTTCATGTCCACCATCTGCGGTGACACAAAGCACGCCCAGTTATCCTCCGCCATCTGGTTCACCAACTGGACACACTCCATGGACTGCGGCTGACGGAAGCACTCCTCCACCGTGCCCAGATGCTCCGCCCACAGCGACATCCGGTACCCATACACCTGCAGACAGAAAGAAATGGTTGGAAGGCAACAGCTCTAGCCACTTCTGCAGAGGTGAGTAAAGAGAGGAGGGCGTGCCTGTCCTCGCGGAGGACCTTGGCTTCCTGCCCAGCTGTAGTGTGGCTGATAGGCGCCCATGGCGATCTCGGTGTCCCGCAAACCGTCCAAGGACCTCTGGTTTATATTGGCTGAGCCGATGAGAACAAACTCGTCATCGATGATCATCCCTTTCGAGTGCACGTAGATCATGAACCTCCTGAACTTCTGAGCCAGACGCTGGAGGAGAAAAGGAAAACAACTTTTTTATGTGATGTGCATATTGCATATATTTAGCAAATTATAGGAGAAGAGAATGAAATTGAGTTACCATCGGGGAATTCTCATTAGAATGGCTTGTCGGTGCAGGAACCACGGCTGTGACTTCACGCTTACCGAGGCAGTAGAAGTTCAGGTAATCCTGTGGATGGGCATCGTCCAACCCTTCCTTTCGGAGAGCGTCTGCGATAATCTTGTACATCATGGACATGGTTTGCCCCTTGAAGAGATAAAACAACTAACATCAGCTCACATCAGTATCTCTAGCTCAATGAATGCTCTTGTCACAAGAGTTAGGTTCATGACAAAACTGTAATCTGATCATGCGGCACAAACCTGCCAATAGAGGATCTCCTGCATAGGAGCAGTTGTCGGATTACCTTCAGGCCACATTGGTATGATAATATAAGCTGCAAATGGCTCCCTTGCTGCGATCTTTCTTGCAATCTTTATGGCCAGTTCAATTGGTATTAGGTTCTCTGCACCTGTTCCCACATGAGTATTCAAAGATAAGCTGGATGCCTCGATTGGCCTTATCCTTGACAGGAATCTGTACATCAGATATAGCACATAAAAAGTGCTAGTTTTCGTAAAAAGAAACCAATGATGTACTTCTCTTTTTCGTCATAAAAAGCTGTGAAAAGTCCAACCATTCCTCAGTCAAGGTTCATAAATGCTAAAATATGCTTATTAATTTGTTGCTATAAAATATAGTGGGCATGGAAATTAAATAATGCTTCTAGTATTCGAAAGTGTGAAGCATGGAATACTACAAACTCATGCAATAATGCAGAAGGGATGGTGTGGCGCAAGTATCTAACTTGCGAAATGGAAGGGCAAAGCACAAAACAAAAACGAAACAGAAGAGATTACTGTAACTGAGAAACAACTTCATTACCTGCACCTCTATGTGAAGACCAGTAGTACGAAGATCCAATAAAATACTGGTTTTCAATATAGACAAAGTGTTGTGCAGATCTGATGGCTTTTACATATGCATTGTGTATGCTCTTGTCTATCTGCAGATTCTTTGCACAGACAAGATTCTGCACAACAAAAGATAAATGAGCATCTCACTGCTATGAGAAAGCTTGAAGTTCTGATAAAGTTAAAACTCCATCTTTTTAAATCAACTTAAATAATCATGTTGCATTTTTGCATAGCTATTTCAACTGGTGAAATGAACACTACCTGTGACTCGGCTTCTTGAACATCTTTAGGAAATCCCTTTACCGATCCTGAATCAATGGATCGGAAAATCTAGCCAAAATAAACAAGGTGGTGATATTTATCTAATAGACGAAAAAAGAGGAGAAATTGCACCAAGGTGATGCATCCATGATTTGTATGTATGCATAAAATATAATACCTGTACATGCCAGTTTTCTGGGTCATTTTCTTCACAAACATGTGCATTTAGCTCATCTGCAGAGGGCGAAACAATCCATGACATCCGGTTTATTTTAACCAAAGTATCATGATGCCAACTTACAGCTCTTCTGACACTGACTTTCCATTTTGCGGATTTTTTCCATCTCTGTTCAAAGTTTGTAAGCATGTCATATGCAGCTGGACCCTCAATCTTGCAATGTAAATCATGCCATGGCTGTCTCGGTCCATCAGACTTATTCACCTGAAGTTGCAGAAAGAAGGATGTTCTAAATTTTAGCATGTCGGAAAGTTGTTTTCTCAGCTATAGCTGTTAAAAATATAGAAGAATCAGTAATATAGTTAGGGAACAAACATAGAGTTAACTGTTAGAGAATTACAGGGAACGTGGGATTATGGAAATCATCCTTGAAGACAGTAGTAAGATCCTTGAAAAGCCTGTGTTCAGGTGTATCATATCTGCCGTCACACAAGTCGAGACCGCCAAGAAAAGCTGTTATTTTTCGATTGTTTCCAGTGGCTTGAGTGTCTACAATTACACATTTCTGATGGTGTGTAAACAAAGTTCCTACAACCTGGAGAAGGGATTTTGCTTCAGAAACACCCGAATACATAAACATTGCTGAAATAAGTAGTAATAGTGAATTATAGGCATCTGTTTGTTGGGCAAAAATTCATTATGCTTGTCATGCATGACAACATGCATATTCTTGGTATGTACGTTGTTTAACTTCTCGAAAGGATAGCATGCAAGATGTTAGGTCTTGAAAAGTGAAAACTGACAACATATAGGGAGGAAACAAATATGGGAAATATATGCAAGATGTTAAGCTTAGTGCATACAGGATAACTACCACCATGAGGTTAGCAGGACGGCAGAATGTAAGGGAATGGAGTAGAACATAGGTTATGGGTGATGAATGAGAGAGGAGGGTTAGGTAAAATATTCTTGTTGACTAACCTGATAGATAGAGAGATAGATACTCATACACGCTGGTTCCCCTTATATAATGAGAAATCACTTGACCCTTCAATAATTTACTTTTTATTTATTCGACTATTGTCTAATATGGCCACAGCCACACGCATGACAGCAAATAAAAATGACTGGTTGATATGCAGAATATGCAGAAGTATAGGTACACTGTATGTATGTGACAAAAAAAGGAAAGAACACACAACATCCACACCTGCTGCTTGAAAATGCTCATTTTGTTGCTAGCATAACGAGGAGCTAACACACAGTGGACACCTGAATGCCTGAAAAACTTTCGAGCTTCCTCATCATGTGTATGCATCAGTCCATCCTGCATGCAGCCTACATCATTTCTATCAGACTACTCTTTTGTGAACAAAACAGGCAAACAAGCTCACGTCTTCAGGAAAACATCGATAAAAATTGGAACATACGGGTTTGGTTCTCTTGAATATGATATTTATCTAGTTATATATCATATTTAAGTAAGATACAATGAAACATGAAACTTGCAGGTTTCTTGAGCCCTTGGGTATTTTTATTGACAACAATAATATCTAGATTCAAGTGATGAGACTGACACCAGAAACATTGAACAAGAAGGGAGATAGCTCCATCACAAAACTGTCTACCCTTTTAACTTATTCACATCATTCACCCAAAATTTCAGAATTCTCAAAAAGCAGTAACAAGATATTAGACAAGAGCATTATTCAATTCATGCTTGTTATTTCTGTCTACGTTTTGGAGGAAAACTACACGGTAGCATCATAACTAATAATGTGATGCCAAACTTTGATGTACAGCCATGTCAGTGAAGGATTAAATGAAGAGGTTCAAGGGTGAGCCAATGGACGATGTGGAATAAAGCCTACCGTTTTCAAAAGAAATTTGTCGTGTGATGTTTTGTCATCCCAAAGCAACACGATAACACGAACTCCCTCTTGAACCTTGCTTTTCAAAATCTCTCCAATGGTTCGTGGGACTCCATTGGGCAAAGGTTTTGTCGATTCCCGTAGAAGATTGATAGGGTGATATAATGACCAGCCAATAAGGTAAATAAGGTGATGAGCCTCGACAATTGCATGGCAAATGTCTTCCCAGCATTTATTTTGTTCATATGTCCTCCCACCTTCAATTTCAATGTTAGGACGAAAATCATCAGGAACATGGGCATCTTGATATAGACTGACCCTACCACCCTTGCGAAGAGGAAAATAAGCATTTGGTACACCAATATTCTCAGTACCACCGGCACCAACTCCGTCCTTGTACAGCGGATTCTGATCAAATGGCTTATACTGGATAGACAAATTGAGTTCAGGAGATATCTTCGGGCTATTGTAGTGACCAGAGATTGGAAACCAGCCACTGACAACATCCCCTTCTGTGATCTGTTCAACTGGTACTGAAGCAACACCTATAAGCTCAGCCCCAAAGACATCATCGTCCTTTACATGAAACTCGAGTCTGCTAACTGAGTGGGCAACCTGAACATAGAAGTGTTCATCCCATTTAGGATTCTCCGAGTTGTTAATGACTCGAGTTTGTGCCACCGTTGCACCTGAGAGGCAAACCGAAACATATGGATCACTAGTAATGATCTTCCTCACGTCTGGTTTTGGATTAGAATTCCCGCAGTTGGACCTGCAAGCACCATAGCCAGTGAAGCATTTCCGGATCCTTTCGGTCATGAGATCCATATTGGGAAGACATTTTGCTTCCACTATCTGTATGTCCAAGTCTCCATGTAGGAGCATACTAGTCCCGGTTTCAGCAGAATGTTTCCCCATTGTATGAGGGATGAGAAAAAACAGACCACAATAAGGTGCATAAGCTAAGCTTTCATTTATCCTGGAGAACCATCCTTTGCAATTCAAATCACATTAATGGATTATCCAAATGGTACCTGGAGAGTGAAATGTAGTTTTGATAAAGGTACTTCACTTCATACGAAAGCATGAAAAAATGATCACATGAGATTCTATAATGTTTACAGTAATGTTTCGGAATCCCTTGTTTGGGCAACGGTACTCCATTTCATCTAGTAATATTCTAGATCTAGCCTGGGCCTTGTATTGAATGTGGCTACAGGACAATGGGATTGCTCCAATTACAAAATTTACACGGCATAAAAGGCATGGTTACACATGGACAAGATGAGTAAGATGGAGCGATTCATTTAAAAGAAGGAATCGATTCTTTTACGCGCCTGTAATAAATTATTGCAATTCACATGCCCCTCAACAAGAACAAGCAGAAGAGACAGAGACATTACCTCACCGGAGAGGCAGAAGACGCGCCCGATAGAGAGAGGGAGAGGCGCGCGCGTGTGGTCCGCGCGCGGGAAGAGAAGAGGATGAGACGGCCATGCCGGGGGCTGAAGTTGCTAATTAATGTGTCGTCGGCCATTTTGCGTGGGAGAGAGATCAGACGAGAACAGGTCCAACCCCCGTCAAGTTAGGGACGCCCTATTTAGGATAGGAAACGGGGAAAATTAAGAAACCAAGGTTACTTTTTTCGGATGTCGATCGCGCGGTCGCGGACATCGAGCCGGGCGTCCGTGATTGCCCGCATCACTGGTAAAGCCGTGCCCGGCAGAGAGGCAGGCGTGAGCTCGGGTGTCGTGGTTCTCGAGGATGGAGGCCGCCCCATCGGGGCCAATGCAAGCGGCGACAACTCTCTACTGTTTGGCGGCGGCGGAGGTGGACGCAGCGAGTGAGCGGAAATGGGGGAATAGGTAGAGGGAGACCAGGGTTTTTCTTGCAGGTGCGGCAGATGGTGCTGGAGATGGCCGGAAGCGGCAGATCGTGGCGGCGGCGTGGTAAGGACCAAGGAGAGAGAGGTGGGAGGAGATTTTTTTTTTTTTGAGATAGAGAGAGGTGGGAGGAGATGGAGAGGCCAAGGAGGTGTTTGGTTCCAAGGACTTTTTTATGTTGGGACTAGAAAAAGTCCCTAGCAAACCAAGCAGGGTGGAACTTTTTGAGACCTTTTGCTAAAAGTCTTTAAAATCATCTTCTTGAGAGTCTTTTTCAAAAAGTTATAGGGACTAGAAAAAGTCCTAGGACTAGAAAACCAAACACCACCCAAGTGTTTTGCTGGCATGAATGGGCTCGACGACTTAGCATCTCCAAGGGCCGCGCAGGGCCAAAAAAGGGGTTTAGAGCATGTCTAGTAGTACCTCTAAACCCTCAAACCCTCAAAAATAACCGCTTTTTTCTGGGTTGAAAAAAATGCAAAGACTAGAACCCCTAAACCCTCACCCTAAAAAAAGTAAGGGTCCAACCCTCAAACCCAATTTCAACTTCTAGAAGCAAGGGTTGGAGAGGGGCACTCGACCCCAACCCGCACTCCCTTCCCCCGTCGCGCGGGAGGGAAAAATCCCGTCCCCAACCTCCCGCCTCCTCCCTCCCAAGCCGCCGGCCGCCGCCGGCCGCCAATCCGGCCGGCCCTCGCCTCCCCTCGACGCACGCCGCCCGTCGCCGGCTGCG